GTTCGAAAACAAGTCTTTTCGGAGACGTTGGTTACATTTCTCGTTCTTGCCCTTATTTACCATTATTTTCCTCGACTTTTTTAAATGTGTACGATTTTGCTTCAAAACACGATGGGGCGATAAACATATGTTATCCACATCAAATAATGGTGTCGTGTTCGAAACAAGTCTCTCCGGAGACGTTGCTTACATTTTTCGTCCTTGCCCCTATTTACCCTTATTTTTCTCGACTTTTTTAAACGTGTACGATTTTGCTTAAAAAGAAGATGGGGCGATAAATTTAAGTTATCCACATTAAATATTGGTGTTGTGTTCGAAAACAAGTCTTTCCAGAGACGTTGCTCTCATTTTTCGTTCTTGCCCCTATTTACCCTTATTTTCCTTGACTTTTTTAAACGTGTACGATTTTTCTTCTAAACACGATGAGGCGATACATATAAGTTATCCACATCAAATAATGGTGTCATGTTCGAAAACAAGTCTTTCCGGAGGCGTTGCTTACATTTTTCGTTCTTTCCCCTATTTACCCTTATTTTCCTCGACTTTTTTTAAACATGTGCGATTTTGCTTAAAAACACGATGGGGCGATAAATTTATGTTATACACATTAAATACTAGTGTTGTGTTCCAAAACAAGTCTTTCTAGAGACATTGCTTACATTTTTCGTTCTTGAACCTATTTATCCTTATTTTCCTTGACTTTTTTAAACATGTACGATGTTGCTTCAAAACACGATGAGGCGATAAACATAAGTTATCCACATCAAATAATGGTGCCGTGTTCGAAAACAAGTCTTTTCGGAGACGTTGCTTACATTTTTTGTTCTTGACCCTATTTACCCTTATTTTCCTCGACTATTTTTAAACATGTATGATTTTGCTTCAAAATACGGTGGGGCGATAATATATGTTATCCACATCAAATAATTGTGTCGTGTTCGAAAACAAGTCTTTCCAGAGACGTTGCTTACATTTTTTGTTCTTTCCCTTATTTACCCTTATTTTCCTCAACTTTTTTAAACGTGTACGATTTTTCTTCAAAACACAATGGGGTGATAAATATATGTTATTCACATCAAATAATGGTGCCGTGTTCGAAAACAAGTCTTTCCGGAGACGTTACTTACATTTTTCGATCTTGCCCCTATTTACCCTTATTTTCCTCGACTTTTTTAAATGTGTACGATTTTTGCTGCAAAACACGATGGGGTGATAAATATATCTTACCCACATCAAATAATGGTGCCGTGTTAGAAAACAAGTCTTTCCGGAGACGTAGCTTATATTTTCGTTCTTGCCCGTATTTACCCTTATTTTTCTCGACATTTTTAAATGTGTACGATTTTTGCTTCAAAATACGATGGGGTGATAAATATATGTTATCCACATCAAATAATGGTGTCGTGTTCGAAAACAAGTCTTTCCGGAGACGTTGCTTACATTTTTCGCTCTTGCTTCTATTTACCCTTATTTTCCTCGACTTTTTTAAACGTGTACGATTTTACTTCAAAACACGATGGGGGCGATAAATATATGTTATCCACATAAAACAATGGTGCAGTGTTCGAAAACAAGTCTTTCCGGAGACGTTGCTTACATTATCGTTCTTGCCCCTATTTACCCTTATTTTTCTCGACTTTTATAAAAATGTACGATTTTGCTTCAAAACACGATGGGGGAGATAAATATATATTATCCACGTCAAATAATGTGCCGTGTTCAAAAACAAGTCTTTCCAGAGACGTTGCTTACATTTTTCATTCTTGCCCATATTTACCCTTATTTTTCTCGACTTTCTTAAACGTGTACGATTTTGCTTCAAAACACGAGGGGGCGTTAAATATAAGTTATCCACATCAATTAATGGTGCCGTGTTCGAAAAAAAGTCTTTCCGGAGACGTTCTTACATTTTTCGTTCTTGCCCCTATTTACCCTTATTTTCCTCGACTTTTTTAAACGTGTACGATTTTTGCTGCAAAACACGATGGGGTGATAAATATATCTTACCCACATCAAATAATGGTGCCGTGTTCGAAAACAAGTCTTTCCGGAGACATAGCTTATATTTTCGTTCTTGCCCGTATTTACCCTTATTTTCCTCGACTTTTTTAAACGTGTACGATTTTTGCTTCAAAACACGATGGGGTGATAAATATATGTTATCCACATCAAATAATGGTGTCGTGTTCGAAAACAAGTCTTTCCGGAGACGTTGCTTACATTTTTCGCTCTTGCTCCTATTTACCCTTATTTTCCTCGACTTTTTTAAACGTGTACGATTTTACTTCAAAACACGATGGGGGCGATAAATATATGTTATCCACATAAAACAATGGTGTAGTGTTCGAAAACAAGTCTTTCCGGAGACGTTGCTTACATTATCGTTCTTGCCCCTATTTACCCTTATTTTTCTCGACTTTTATAAAAATGTACGATTTTGCTTCAAAACACGATGAGGCGATAAATATATATATTATCCACGTCAGATAATGGTGCCGTGTTCGAAAACAAGTCTTTCCAGAGACATTGCTTACATTTTTCATTCTTGCCCCTATTTACCCTTATTTTTCTCGACTTTTTTAAACGTGTACGATTTTGCTTCAAAACACGATGGGGCGTTAAATATAAATTATCCACATCAACTAATGGTGTCGTGTTCGAAAACAAGTCTTTCCAGAGACGTTGATTATATTTTTTGTTCTTGCCCCTATTTACCCTTATTTTCCTCGACTTTTTTAAAGGTGTACGATTTTGCTTCAAAACACGATGGGGCGATAAATATATGTTATCCATATCAAATAATGGTGTCGTATTCAAAAACAAGTCTTCTTGCCCCTATCTACCCTTATTTTTCTCGACTTTTTTAAACGTGTACAATTTTTCTTCAAAACACGATGGGGCGATAAATATATGTTATCCACATCAAATAATGGTGTCGTGTTCGAAAACAAGTCTTTCCAGAGTCGTTGCTTACATTTTTCGTTCTTGCCCCTATTTACCCTTATTTTTCTCGACTTTTTTAAACGTGTACGATTTTTCTTCAAAACACGATGGGGCGATAAATATATGTTATCCACATAAAATAATGGTGTCATGTTCGAATACAAATCTTTCCGGAGATGTTGCTTACATTTTCGTTCTTGCTTCCAGTTACCCTTATTTTTCTCGACTTTTTTAGAAGTGTACGATTTTGCTTCAAAACACGTTGGGACAATAAATATCTGTTATCCACGCAAATAATGGTGACGTGTTTGAAAACAAGTCTTTTTGGAGATGTTTCTTACAGTTTTTGTTCTTGCCCGTATTTACCCTTATTTTCCTCAACTTTTTTTAAACGTGCACGATTTTGCTTCAAAACACGATGGGGCGGTAAATATCTGTTATCCACATTAAATAATGGTGTCGAGTTCGAAAACAAGTCTTTTCGGAGACGTTGATTACATTTCTCGTTCTTGCCCATATTTACCCTTATTTTCCTCGACTTTTTTAAATGTGTACGATTTTGCTTCAAAACACGATGGGGCGATAAACATATGTTATCCACATCGAATAATGGTGCCGTGTTCGAAACAAGTCTTTCCGGAGACGTTGCTTATATTTTTCGTCCTTGCCCCTATTTACCCTTATTTTCCTCGACTTTTTTAAACGTGTACGATTTTGCTTAAAAACACGATGGGGCGATAAATTTATGTTCTCCACATTAAATATTGGTGTTGTGTTCGAAAACAAGTCTTTCCAGAGACGTTGCTTACATTTTTCGTTATTGCCCCTATTTTACCTTTATTTTCCTTGACTTTGTTAAACGTGTACGATTTTTCTTCTAAACACGATGAGGCGATACATATAAGTTATCCACATCAAATAATGGTGTCGTGTTCGAAAACAAGTCTTTCCGGAGGCGTTGCTTACATTTTTCATTCTTTCCCCTATTTACCCTTATTTTCCTCGACTTTATTTAAACGTGTGCGATTTTTCTTAAAAACACGATGGGGCAATAAATTTATGTTATCCACATTAAATATTGGTGTCATGTTCGAAAACAAGTCTTTCTAGAGACGTTGCTTACATTTTTCGTTCTTGCCCCTATTTACCCTTATTTTCCTTGACTTTTTTAAACGTGTACGATTTTTCTTTAAAACACAATGGGGTGATAAATATATGTTATCCACATCAAATAATGGTGCCGTGTTCGAAAACAAGTCTTTCCGGAGACGTTACTTACATTTTTTGTTCTTGCCCATATTTACCCTTATTTTCCTCGACTTTTTTAAATGTGTACGATTTTTGCTGCAAAACACGATGGGGTGATAAATATATCTTATCCACATTAAATAATGGTGCCGTGTTCGAAAACAAGTCTTTCCGGAGACGTAGCTTATATTTTCGTTCTTGCCCGTATTTACCCTTATTTTCCTCGCCTTTTTTAAACGTGTAAGATTTTTGCTTCAAAACACGATGGGGTGATAAATATATGTTATCCACATCAAATAATGGTGTCGTGTTCGAAAACAAGTCTTTCCGGAGACGTTGCTTACATTTTTTGCTCTTGCTTCTATTTATCCTTATTTTCCTCGACTTTTTTAAACGTG